CCCCTCACAAGAGAGTCAGCCTGTCCTTTGCAGCTTGGAAGCCAGGCACTGACTTCTCCTCTCTAGCTACCAAAGTCCTACATGGCATCTTCCTCCGAAAGTAGGCTCTTATATCGACACTGAAAATCTGTTGTTGGGCGTGGCCACCTTCTTGGATGATCTTAGCTGGGTCTTCTGGAGAGCTTGGTGCAGCTTCTACACGAGCACCTGCTGCTTCACCTTGCACTTCTGTGTTATGGAGGTGGCTTCTTTCCTTAAACCTCGTGAACCAACCTCGGCTAGCTTCAGACGTTTCTTCTGCAGCCTCCTCACCTCTCTCAGCCTTCACAGAATGGAAGGGAGTTAGGGCCTTGCTCTGGGTTCGCTTTGGCTTCGGGGAGTGTTGTGCCAGGTCTGAGCTTCCATCCAGACCACGCACAGTTTCTCCAGGTCAGCAGGAAGGCCGTTTTCTTTCCTTATCATTCGTGTGTTCCCCAGAGTAGCACCTGTCATTTCCTTCAGGATCTCTTCCTTTGCATCTGCCATTTGGCTACCGGTTGGTGCAAGAGGCCTAGCTTTTGGCCCCTTTTGGCTTTTGATGTGCCTTCTTCACTACGCTTAATCATTTCTAGCTTTGGATTTAAAGTGACGAGATGTGCAACTCTTCCTTTTACTTGCGCACTTAGAGGCCTGATGTCAACATTGCTGTGTCTCAGGAAATGGGGAGGTCTGAGGAGAGGGCGAGAGACGGGGAGTGGCCGCCAGGAGAGCAGTGGAGAAGTCAGAACACACTCAACGTTTATTGATTAAGTTCGCCGTCTCCTGCGGGCATGTTTCGTGGCACCCCAAATAACTACCGTAGTAACATCAGAGATCACAGGTCGCAGATTGCCAGAAGAAATATAATAATAATGGAGAAGTCTGAAATACTGCAAGAATTACCAAAATGCAACACATGAGACACAAAGTGAGCAAATGCTGTTGGCAAACTAGCAATGGTAGACTTGCTCGATGCAGGTTGTCACAAACCTCCAATTGGGAAAGAACACAGTATCTGCAAAGTACAGTAAAGCGAAGTGCAGCCAAACAGGGTGTGCCTGTATTGAAGTCCTAATTTGGAGACAAGATAACCCATTTTGACAAGTTTACCGTTTTGATGCCATCATTTACTGAGAAAATGGCCAGTTCCTTCACTTCCCTGAGCCTGTTCCTTCATTAGTAAATTGAGCGTGATAGGCAGTACTTTGGTTATGACAATTGAGATAATGCATTTAAAGCATTTAGCACAATTCTTGGCACATAGTAAATCCTCAGTACATATCACTAATGTTACTTTAGGCAAGGATGACTAACACTGTTTCTACGTGATTAAGAAAACTAAAACAAGCTGGTGGTGTCTGAAATTAAATTTAGAATAAGGAAAAAGAGGTGGTTTGGTTTTATTTTGTTGTGTGTTTTGTAACTAAAAATTAGAACTATAGGCTGAGATTCTTACATTGCCATCTAGTTCAGGGGAGCAACATTTATTGAATCTATGGGACCAAAGCGAAGATGGACAGTTGCTTATATAGCAGTTGAAGATAAAAACAACTATTGAGGGGTGCCTGGGTGGCTCAGTCAGTTGAGTGTCTGACTCTTGGTTTCAGCTCAGGTCATGATCTCAGGGTCATAAGATTGAGCCCTGCGTGGGCTCCATGCTCAGCAGGGAGTTTGCCTGGGGATTCTCTCCCTCTGTCACTCCTCCAACCTTCGTTCACTCTTTCTAAAATAAATAAATACATCTCTTTTTTTTTTTTAAGTTTAAGAAAAAGAACAACTATCGGACACGTATCTCTTAAAGTGAGAGCCTCACTGAACAGCTAGCCTACCATATCAACATTATTAACCATCCCACCTCCTAATCATTTCAGCACACAGTGATCTCTCCCAAGAACTCATAAAGCTTACTGACCCCTTTTTGGCCTCAAAAAAGCACTGAGGCAGTTAATTAACCTATCCTGTGGCTCTTCTCTCTCCTGGGCAGTGTTCAGGGCCAGTACACACTGGGAGCTGGGCTGGGACTCCTTGAGAAAGACTAGAGTTCAAATCTTATCAAGGAAGCATTCTTTCAGAATACTCTCCTGTATATTCAAGAGAAGGTGCTGATACACTAAATGTATTTGGTGTTTTGCTGTGTTGGAGCATTAGAGAATAAATGGATTAGGGTGGGAAATAAGTGCCTCAGCCAGCATTCCCCAGAGAATTAAAAGTTGCAAAAGATGTCCTTGAGGATTGAATGGCAAAAATCTTAACAGACATTGGGGCACCTGGCTGGCTCAGTTGGTGGAGTGTGCGACTCTTGATGCCGGGGCTGTGAGTTCAAGCCCCATGCTGGGTATAGAGATTACTTGAAAGTAAAATCTTTAAAAAAAAAAAAAAAATTCTTAACAGGGCGCCTGTGTGGCTCAGTTGGTTAAGCATCTGCCTTCAGTTCAGGTCCTGATCCTAGGGTCCTGAGATCAGGTCCCATGTAGGGTTCCATGCTCAGTGGAGAGTCTGCTTCTCCCTCTCTCTCTCTCAAATAAAAATCTTTTAAGGAGCCCCTGGGTGGCTCAGTCGTTAAGCGTCTGCCTTCCACTCAGGTCATGGTCCCAGGGTCCTGGGATCAAGCCCTACATCGGGCTCCCTGCTCAGCGGGAAGCTGCTTCTCCCTCTCCCACTCCACCTGCTTGTGTTCCCTCTCTCACTGTGTTTCTCTCTGTCAAATAAATAAATAAAATCTTTAAAAAAAATCTTTTAAAAATAAAAATTAAAAAACAAAAATCTTAACAGACATGACAGGGAACTTCAAATAGTGCCCGTGTTGAATGGAAATGAGAAATGGAGACAGAGATGATTTACCTTGGCCCTGCTGAGGAAATAAAGGAATGAGAGAATATAAATAAGTAAATTTCTAAGAGAGAAATAAAGGAGTTTCTAAGGTAGTAGGTTTATCTCTTACTCTTTTATGTAAAACACTGAGACTTTCTCTTAATTTAGTGGATGTTTGCTGAGCTTCTGCCGTGTACAGAGTAATAATGACAATATTGAACATTTGGGAGCTTACTATTCCTAGGCCTGTTTGCTCTGACTAGCAAAGCGGTCTTTACCGAGACAGACTCATCTGTGGTGGAAGTAGAGATGGGGGTTGGTCTTGTTTGAGCACGAGGGAACACATGGACCAGGGGTGGGAAGCCAGCATTTCATCCTATACTCCATCCTATACTCCTTACAGAGTAGGAAGTTGCAGAGAAGCTTGGGAAACGAAAGGCAGAAAAATCTTAACAGACTCCCTTTGCACAGCCTCTGAATCCACCCTGAAGGTCTCCTCTGCTTGCAGGCATCAGAAGTTGAGAGACAACTCTCCATGCAAGTCCATGCCCTCAGAGAAGACTTTCGGGAGAAAAACTCGTCAACCAACCAGCACATCATCAGGCTTGAAAGCCTTCAGGCTGAGGTGAGCCTCCCCGTGTGACGGTGCTTGGAGATGGAAGTGCTTTTCTCAATGAGGCGCTGCACTAGATCTTTTGGATAAGGAGTTCTCTGAATTGGGAAACAAAACCCTGCCCTATCTAAAAATCTCTAAAGAGAGATGTATCTGTGAGAAACTAAATGGGGAGCACTTGATTCATGTTCCACTGGGTAGCCTCTTGTCTGGAAGAATAAGGTTGCTCAGAGTTATTGCTGAGTGTGTTGAAATCATGAATGACCTACTTTTACAGAATATGTTGATCGGTCCAAAAACATTCTTGCCAATCCTAAATAGAAGATGGGAAAGAGAATTTTCCCTTGCTCTATTCTATTTAGGTCCAGTTCAGTCCACCTTAATGGGACCTATTATATTCTCACGTACAAAATGAGAGTAATAGAAGTAGCTACTTCATAGGGTTGTTGTGTTTGTTGAGTTAATACATGGAAAGCACTCTGTGCAGAATGTATGAGCCAGAGCACGGCAGGCAGGGTCTATGGCCCTCAGTGGGCCAGAGGGAAAGAAAAAGTAGCACTTAGGGGACAACTCTGTGAGAACCCGGTTGTGGGAGGTGAGAAAAGGGGAGTCCTATCACCAGCCCAAATGGGATCTCCCCCTTCCCCAGAGGATTCCACCTAATCTGATCCTGAGGGCCCCTAAGCCGATTGTCTGGACAGCAATCCTTTGGCTAAGTTACACCTGAAGGGATAGACTAGGGCCAGCTGAATCACACCCCCACTGTGGTTAAGGAATCAGTAAGTGTGGTCAGGCCCAGAGAAACCCAGATGGCTGTTCCCCTGCTTTGGAAATGACCTGAAGATGTTTTTCCTAAAGTCTGTCAATATCTTCTCTTTTCTCCTGCCTGTCATTCCCTTCCTTTCTCCCTTCCCTTGGAAATACTACTGGTATTGAGCAGCAGGTTCTTGAAGTAAGTAGTTGGTTCTGGTGGGGTTTGGCATGCCTGTCTGTGACCACTTGTGTGCATGACTTGCCATTCAACTGCCTTTGCCAAGCTCTGACTCCTTCGAGTTGCCTGTTTTCCTCTCCCCTCTGATTACTATTTTCAGACCCTCGTGACTCAGGGTCATTCCCAGGAATGTTAATTGGCAGATTTGGTCACAAGTTTCAGGGTATATAGGGTGCGGTGATGGAGTGTCGATGCCTTGCTTCATCCAGTAACACTGCTACTTTAAAAAGCCAATCTATGAAGTTGGTCAAGCACATTACTTCATGTAGCTCTGAACTTCTAAGTTTTTTTTAAGGGACCAGGATTGTCTATCAGAACCTCATTATTTCACTGCGTGGAACTTGAGAAACAAAGATTATTCATGGAAGGAAAATATAAAGGTCAGAGGGTATTTAAATGAAAATCAGCTAGAGTAAGAATTCCTTCACGTGGGTAACATGCTTCAATGTGGGGAATAGTGGCCCCATTCACAGTAGAGACTTATTCCTTTTTGTCCCTCACCCAGGTGCACACTTGAGACAGTATTTCTTTGTTTGGCCAGATACCTGATCTCTCTGGACAAAGGCCACATACTTCATTTCCCCAGGACAGCATCCTATCTGATTGATTGGTGGCCAGGGAAGATCTGTGCCCTCTGAACAGAATTCTAGCGTGGAGAGCGAGAACAGACAAAAAACAGAGGGAAAGGTGGATTTCAGAGAACCTCAGACACATTACACATTCATTTCAAAATCTCCAAAGGGTCGGAGATTGGTCTCCTTAATGTATTGTTCTTCAAGCCAAACTGGAGAGCATGGAGAACATCTTAACCATGTTGGGAGCAAGAAGCCGGGTGAGAGATGAGTCCAGCAGGGAACTGATAGACAGGAGGAGCCAGTGGGACCTTCATGCCGGACTTGGGAAGGCTTCCGTGGCCCCTTAGCAGGACAGTGTTCTTGGGGTGAAGCATCGCTGGTCTTGTGGAGTGCCAGCCCAGCCCCTGAGTCTACAGACCTTGCGGCCAGAAGACTTGGCATCTCTTTCCTCTTTTTCTGTTTTCTCACTGACATTGAAGATACTAGACAGGTCTTCCTAAAAGATTTATATCTCTTGAGACTGGCTAGATATGCAGTGTACAAACACACCAGCCTGTTTAATAAAAGGAGTGAAATTGCTCCTATTCACAAATGACTTGCTCAGGCAAACAGACACTTTGAGTGAAATCAGTTACTGACTTGTGTCCGTGTCCTGTTGCTTCCAGGACACAGGCTGAGGCAGGCACTACTTTGTTTCTGTACCCTGCCGACTCCCCCATTAACTTGGGACACCGGATCTGAACTGCAACCTCTAGAGCCAGACCCTTTAGCAGTGGGGGAAAGTACAGAAGAGAGCCATAAAAGTATGACAAGACCGCAGCTCAAGAGGTTGTCTCAGGCATTTTCCTGCGCCCATGACTTGAGAAGGAAGGATGGAACCGCAGGTTGGGTTCCACTCCCCCATAAATTGTGGGGTTGAGGTGAAGTTATGGGTAGGCAAGGTGGAGCCCTTCTCTATCTTATCTGTGGAATTTCCAGAACACTGACCTTCCCTTCCTCTGCCTGGCATCCCACATTCCAGCTTCCCCAAAGCTCATCTCCCACCCCTTCCCAGACAGGTTTCTAGGAGGGAGGGGCTTTCTCTGCAGCTTGGGAGTTCACAGCTGTTCTCTCAGAGATGGGGCACCAGGCCCCTGGGCAGACCACTTGGGGAGACACCTGCCTTCATGTTTGGGGCTAGTTCCTCCCTTCCTACTCATCAGCCTGGGTGTAACTGCACACCACCCCTATGACTCCACCCTTTCAGATCAAGATGCTGTCGGATCGGAAACGGGAGCTGGAGCATCGTCTCAGGACCACCTTAGAGGAGAACGACCTGCTCCAGGGGACTGTGGAGGAGCTCCAGGACCGGGTGCTGATCCTGGAGAGGCAAGGCCATGACAAAGACCTACAGGTACTGAGGGAGAGAAGCTGCCCTGCAGAGCCGGGCCAGAGGAAAGGAGCATGTAGCTGCCCAGCCAGAAGGAAAGCTGAGGGGCCAGCACCACCGTAGGACTCAGGAGAGGGTAAAGCTGAGGTCTCTCTTTTGGCCCTGTTGTCGTTCTCCTTGGGCACTCACAAACTTGGCCAGTCTGGCTCTGCCGAAATCAAATGCATCGCTACCCACAGGTCATCCTTCCAATTTGTTCTGAGCCACTGGCCCCTGGAGCAGTTTCAGAGAGTTCTTTCTGGGCTATTAACATGACTGGAACATGAGGAGTGTCATTCTGCCTCCTAGGGTTTGTTAAATCTGCCAGAGGTTTCAGAGGGAGCCTGTGACTTTCTGTGCTTGCTCACAATTCTCTCTGCTGCTGCTTTCCCAGGCTGATGCATTTAGTCAGCTTGCACTGAGCAGAAATCAAGAAACTGCCCACTGAACACAGCAGGACTTATATCCTGCTTCTAACAGTTGTTAGAAAAGACATAGGCTGACCCTTTGTGACCCTAATTGGCCTCTTTTTCCTTCCTAAAGGAAATTGCTTCATGGCCATATTTGTCCTTATCTGGGACCTGCCACCAGTCCTCAGCTGAATCCCCAGGCTCACACTTGACAACCCCCTAAACAAAAAGATAATTGCCCCTAGCCTCCCCAGAAACAGAGTGTGACATCTGCTACAAAGGCGGCTTTGCCAAAGCGGCCTAGGCTCACCTGGGGCCAGTGGCTAAGAGTGCACTGCTTCCCTTGGGCACCCTCTGAGGGTGCCAGGCAGTGGGGGAGATTACAACAGTGTCGTTCGTGTGGGGGTGGTCAGCCAAATGTGTGGGAGCACCAGGCAGGTTCCTCCCCAAAGACCAGGCCATGGCAGGCCCCACTGGGCTCAGCGGTCGGCTGTTGAGGAAGACTCTAGGATGTGGGATAAGGAAACATCTTAGGCTAACATAGCTTGTTATTGACACCGTCAGCTAAGCTGCCACCTGAGTGATTAAACTCTTTAAGGGCAAATGAGCAGTTTTCCACCCTCCAGGTTTTTTGCACCTTCAGCTTGGAACGTTGCATGCAGTAGGACCTCCATAAATGTTGAATAGAAAATGATGCTGGCTAAAGCCTCACAGCTGTTTACAAGATGGAAAGGAGTTGACTCATATTCTAAGGTTGACGGTGGTTAATAGTGGTGAATGTTTGTATACTTCTTTACAGGGTACGGAGTGCTTTTGCAAACATTCTAAAACTGAGGCTTAGAAAAAAGTGAATCATTTACCAAAGTAGTATAGTAAGTCCTTGGTAGAATTGAAATTGGAGCCTCCCGCCTTCTTCACGTGGTGCTCAGTGACAACGTCTAGCGCATGCATCCCTTGCCTCTGCAAGTCAGCGTCTTGCCAGCATTTCTTATCCCATTAAGGCACTCTCCTGAGGTTACTGAGGCAGAGGATGGAGGAGAAGGAAAAGAAATACAAAAAAGTGCGGAAATGACCCCTGCCTAAAAGACCTTTTCAGTCTAGCTTGAATTCACAAATGATAAGTCCTTATTTCAAACCAAGAATTGGGGACCGAAGGACGGGGAAGAGCAGGACCAGTGTTCCCCTGGCTAATGCCGTGGGCTGTGCGCTCTCTGCAGCAAGAGCCCCAGGTCACACCACATTCACAACCTTGCCATCTGCACATCCGCTCTCTTCCGATTGGGCTTCTTCAAGAATGAGAGAGTGTCACTCCCCGCATGGCCTATATCAAGTCAGGCAGTGCACAGTTTGATTTGGAGAATCTGTGTTTATGGGCTGAATTCTTATCTGTCCCACCTTTCTGTGATTCTTTTCCTTCAGCTCATATGAAATTTTCCTTAAGCTGCTGCTAATTACCAGTGTCCTCCAGAAAGCCCTTGTTATTGCTAAAATGGCCTGTACTGATACAGAAATAAAAATGCCAGCTTAGGTGGTAGTTGAGAGGTCTCAATCAGACTTGCAAAATGTAGAGCTTGTGGCCTTGGAATGTGTATAATTCCATGATTTTAATCCTTTGTTTCAGCTAAAGGATGAGAAGAAGGCTGAGTAGGCAGGGCATCAGGCCTGCACAGCCAGGGTAGCCCCTCCTAAATCTAGTCCACCATGTAGTTGGGGTTCTACTGTCCAGCTCAGATTTTTAAATCACTGATCAACTCCAGCTCTCATTTTTTTTTCAGACTGACAGTAGGTATAAAAATTATTTGTTGAATACCCAATAAATTAAAAAACTGGACATTTTGCTAAAGTCTTCATACCCAGTAAAGGATTTTGTCCCTCTAAGGACCACTTAACTGCCCTATACGATTCATACCCACCTGGGCATCTTATAGATGTGTGCAGGGGCCTTGTCCCAGGATTTCATCAACAGAAAGCATAGGCCCCACTCTGTGGGGTGACCCAGGAAGCAGATGGTCTGCAGTATAGACTTTGCTCTGACACTTAACACCATAGCATCTTAGTTCCCTCGGTGAGAAATGGGAGGGTGCTCCCAACTCTGTCAACTTGAGGGGCATGAGTATTGTAAGCTTAAACTAAGTAAGGCATTTGGTGTCTTCTTTATTTATTTATTTATTTATTTATTTATTTAGTCATCTTTGTTATACAAAGGATGATATTTCTTATTTTAGAGGTTTCTTATATTTAATAGACTCCTCTGGTTTGGTTTTTCTGCATATGCTTGTGGATCAGTTACTGACCAGAGAGGGCAGACCTGTCCTGGTCTTTTGTTCTCTTGCTGTTATAATTAATTAAGCACCCTCGAGTGTACATGAGTAATTGAACTAATTTTGTCCAGTGCATGAGAACTTGTACTTGTCTGTGCTGGACTTCTCCTGCTGAGATGTATGTGGAGTTGCCTAGAAAATAATTGTAAAGCATTTTGCCAACTTAGTATGCCATTTATAATTGTGCCAAATGCTTCCTAGGAATGTCTTCTTTTTTTTTTTTAACCCTGATTTCTTCTGAGTTTTCTCAAAACTGGGGCTGGAGGAGTTCCCACTGGACCAGCAGGTATTGCTGATCCGTGGGACCCATGCAGACAGAGCAGGCTTGCCCATTCCTTTTTCATTCTCTGAGCAGCCAGGCTCCAGATTCTTCCTAGTAAAGGCACATCCGATCACTGGTGCTATCAGCCAGCCCTTGTCCGATACTGACCAGCAGAGGCAAGGCCCTAGGGCACCTAAAGGATGGGCTGGAGGCTCTGCAAGGCAGCTTGCTCCACTCGTGAGAACTACAGAGCTCGGGGTCGCTACCCACTGCTGCCCAGTGTCTGCCTCTGCAGGAGCTGCAGCCTATCTGGCCAGCAGTCTGGAACAGACAGAACTGTGTCTGCTATATTTTTAAATGAACAGGGGTGACCCCAGAAATCCTGTGTTATGAAAGGATAAATTAGTTTAATTTAAATCCTAGGAAATTCTTTCGCCCCCTCTCCCCCGCAAATCTTTTAAAAGGGAGGGGTGGGCAGTCCACAAATACAGGAGTAGGAAGCTTTGCTCTTGTGCATGTGTCATCTGCGGACATGTGCGTAGCGGTTAGTGAGCAGATGAAGATTCTGCAGGTAGGGTCTGTTGTGTTGAAAGCTAGCGTAGTGGTGGAGTGCACTAGGAGAGTACGGCGCTTAGCAGCCATGGTGGCGTCGACTTTCAGCAGTAGTAAGCTCACCAGGCAGCGGGGCCTTGTTTGGACTCCACGGGGATGGGGCCCCAGAGAACGCAGAGAGGAGTAAAGTAGCGGCAGCAAGAGAGAGGGAAGGAGCCCTGGCCTTTACGTTGTGATAGCTGCATTGCTGTCCCCTCTACTGGGGCACCCCTCTCCCTCTCTGAGCCGCCCACACCCCGTAAGCCCCTCCCAGGCTTGGGCTTTCTCTGTAAACTGTGAGGTAGGACACAGAAAGTACAGAGACCTCTCTTCTCATGGGTTTGGGAATTCTTGGTATTTCTACCCAAATGTTAGACCAAATCCTACTCTCAGCTTCTTTCCAAACAACCTTTTCCCCTTAAATTTTTTCACTAAAACACATCATACATACAGTAAAGCATACAGATCTTAAATGGACAGCCCAGTGAATTTTTACAAATGTACATCCCTGTGTAACAGATCCAGATCAAGATAAAGCCCATTATCTGCACCCTACAGGCCTCCCTCTCACGCTTCCCAGTCAGTACCCTGACACCACCTCTTCTGCCTTCATCTCTTCTGTCTCGAAGTTTTAGAATATTTTATAAATGAATTCCATATTGTTTTATGCCTGGTTTTGCTTGACATTATGTCTCTGAAATCCATCCATGTTATGGCATAGAGTAGCAGTGTGTTCTTTTTTCACTGTTGTATAGTATTCCAGCATGGGACTCTCTGCATTCTCTGTTGGCATTTGGATTGTTTCCCATTTGTGGCTCTCAAGAATAATGGTGCTGTAGACATCGTTTGTCTTGCGTGCACATACACAGCCATTTGTGTTGGATCTGCACCTAAAAGTGAACTGCTGGGTCATGGGACAGCTGTGTATTTCACCCAGTAGAAACTGCCGGTTTCCCAGAGTGGTTGTACATCTTCACTCCCAGCAGCAGTGAGAGTCCCGGATGCTCCACATCCTCATCAGCACTTGGTATCATTACATCTACTTGCTTCTCTCTTGTATTATTCTGAAGTAAATCCCAGAATTTTTATAATTTCATCTGTAAATAAAGAATGATAAGAACTTAAAAAAACATAGCCAAACAACATAGCCACAGGGGATGCCTGGGTGGCTTAGTCAGTTAAGCGTCTGCCTTCGGCTCAGGTCATGGTCCCAGGGTCCTGGGATCGAGCCCCGCAT